GAAAGCGCACAGCGGCAGAGCGGCTGCAGGTCAGCGGAGGGAAATGGCTTGTGGGAAGTATCATGAACCACCATGGAAACAAAAAGAGAGATTGGACAGCGTGAGCAACAGTTTCTTGTGCAGGTACGTCGGCAAGCGTTCTTGCCGATATCCTAGGATCATGTGAGGAGCTTCGTTGGATGGAGCCTCACATGTCCTCTCCAACCCCCTTCTTGGTAGTACAATTGGTAGGAAGTAACCCTTGGAGACAGGGTTTGACACACACACACACACACACCGGTCGCCCGACCGGAGGCACCATTAGCAGTTCTTCGGAGTCTGATTCAACTGATGTGCAACCATTGATTTGTGGATTCAGAACCTTACTTGTGTCGATGTGGCTGGGTTTTTTCTTCGGTTGATGTTGCTCGGGACTGTTTGCCGTGATCACATGGGTGACATGGGTGACCATGTTCCTTGGATTCCTTGGTGACTGTTTTGCAGATCCGATGTTAGCACTGCCGATGTCTCAACACAAGACATGCAGGCAGTCCCCTTCCACAGCGAACAACTTCAGATGCCCTGCGATCGGATTTCTCTTTCAGATACCCTGCGATCGGTGTCCTTTCCTTTCCAATGCTCCACCGGCCTCGGACGTGGACGCGCAAGCGCGCTTCTTGCGCTGGCTGCCTTCGGGTGCGCGCTCTCGGGTGCTCGGTCGGAGCCCGTGCTCGCTCGGATGGTGCGCGGTGCGCTAGGCAACAGTTGGATCAGCTGGTGCTTTTGATTGAGTCGCCCATTTTCTCTCGGCTTCGTTTACGACTCCTGGAACCCAAGCGGCATCCGGAGCTGCTGACGCTCGGCGGGCGGTTTGGAGAAGAAGGTCTAGGAGTCAACGTGACAGGTCTGTGTGGAAGTGACATTGGCATTGACAGATATAGTGAGACATGTGATACCACAGCCATAAGAATAATTGTTTTTCAAGTGGAGAACTATGATGGTTCAATAATTTTGTTGGTTCTCTTTCAGGCGTAGATGTACAATTTATCTGAAGGTTATTTCTTTGTAATAATGCACATGTATGGCGGTGATGGCTAATTCCGAGTACCTACTAACCAAAACCCTGGTTTCTTCAACCCCGAGACCCTGCTTCCCATTTTCATTGCATGGATCTTATCAGGACACCGTATTTCAACCAAACACCTCGACGTTTCGGAGTCTTTGCTTGGGGGTTGGGGCACCTGGCCGCCTGACTTTTTGGGGCCGAAGTCCTTTCATGCGGACGGATTCTGGGCCCCTCCACCACGCGCAGTTGGGCGGACTCGTGAGATTCGTTGGACGACGACTAGAACGAAGCAATACAACTAGAAGCCCAGACGCTCCATGGATTAATGCCATAGATGCCGATCAGGCCAGGGGTGGTGCCAGCGGGGGTCAATGTAAGCTGGAGTGTATGGGTAAAAATGGGTATACATTATCAATAAATATTGTAATATATATATAGTAATATATACTTGTATTTGGATCGATGATAAGGATTTAAGATGATATTGAATATCAATATGTTCTTCCAGCACTTGTCAAAGGTGGGCTGTCCTTCAGCCCAGCCTCCTTTGTTTTGCCTTCCCACTTTGTTTCTCCATTCCGCCTTCATTTCGTTGATTTTCATCTCTCTTCTAAGGAGTCATACATTTATCCCTCTGAAACAGCACTAAGGATCCTTCAAACTATGGTCCAAAACACGCCGGTGCCAAACCAGCGCGTACCAGCACTTAGGTCCCGGACAGTTTCACAGCCACACAGCCGGAACTCTCATGATCTGAACTCTGACTTCGTCCGGAACGACAATACCATGTACGGGGGGGGAAAAAAATCCGATGTGATGTTGAGGATCTTTCAGAAGCGTGTCCAACCAGTTTATGCAAGTGGATGCAATTGGCACGAAACCAAGATACTTGGGAATTTGGAAGAAGGACACGCTTTGTGAGGGTCAAAGGGAGTAATTATACCTGCGCCTACCATGGTGTGTCATTTAAATGCCGCTTCGTGACACTTTATGGTAGTTTGGCGGAAGCAGCATCGCTTCAAGAAAAAATCATATCGCAAAGAAAGTTGCCACTCCCTGGAAGAAGGTGTCCACTGAAAACGAGTGATGTTGTTTTTTGATCTTTGCATTGGCATGTGCTCCGTTTCGCTTCTGGGGCACGTGCCAAGAGAAAAAAAGATCTCTGAGTTTAATCCACTTAAGGTTGGAAAACATTTGGAACACCAACCAGCAGGGCTTCTGAAAGAACCCGACTCTTCAAATGGATGAAGGTACTTTGGCGGCTTTCTTTCTCTTTACCGGTCAGACCGGTGGTCTCAGGAAGTGCTTGTTGGGCCTGGCGATGCTGCTACCGCAGGCGGGAGCCTTCCAAGCTCTCCGGGAGCGGATGCACCTCGTCCAGCGCCTCGGCGGGGGCCAGGTGGCCGTGGCCATTAGGGCCATTAGGGCCAGGTGTGGTGGCCATTTGGTACAAGACAACCCCTGCCCGCTAGAGCGAGGTCAGATGCCATTCTTGTGCGGTCCCCTCCTTCAGGGATCCCCCCTGATCTAGAGGAGTCCGAACTAACAGACACGGGCGCTTGTTGACATCGGCAGTCTTAGACCCGCAGGTGCTCTCGGTGCGTGTCGACTCTCCCTTTGAAACCGCGCATGTTGGTTTTAACATGTTTCGGTGTCGCGGGCGCTGCGGGTGTTTGACCGCCCGAAGAGTCGGTTTCGAAAGATTGCCGAAAGAGGCCATTCGGCAGATCTAATGTGGATGGAGACTAAACTGCAGATGCTCATGACACAGCCCTTAATGGGACACATGAGCGATCAAACCAGCAGGGATTCTCTCAAACCTCGTTTCGACGATGGGTAATAATTCAGCAAGTCTGGTTTCACTCGTCTACAAAACATCAAAGGCAAAACGAAGGCGGTAGATATACTTATTCAATGGCTCCGAATATCAACATAGCTAGTCAGCAAAACTGTGGCGTGGTGCCCTGGAGTTGGCACCTGAGATGTTATTCGCCTCGTGACCACAGGAGCAGTTTGCTCTTGGAGGCGCGCGAGGAGTCCTCTCCACCTTCCCGTGGAGACTGGTGGGCCTCCGAGTCGAAGAGGGACCCAGAACTGGCAGGCGAGCGGAGTTCAGCAGTTGGGCGGCCGAGCGGTTCGCGGTTTGGGCGGCCGAGTTTGGGGGTGGTTTTCTCGGATGTTTTTCCCCACCTGTCAGGTGAGGGTTGTTCGATTTTTACAGATAGCCTTTTTAGCGTCCCACGGCCGACCTCTGGCCGTGGCGTTTTACCTGGAGACTGACTCCGCCGCGTCGCGCTAAAGAGATAGCCTTCTTCTTCTCCTCCTCTGCCCCGTACCTCAACGGCAAGCGCCAGATCGCAGTGGGCGCTACAGGACCTCAACACACACAACACACAACATAACCAGAAACACACAATACACAACACACAACCAACAAAGCACACCCACAGTACACAAACACAAGCCACCAAGCACGACCACAAACACACAAACACAACCACAAGCACACAATCACAAGCACAATCAAACACTCGATCACAAACACACAGCCACAAGCACACAATCACAAACACACAGCCACAAAAACACAACCACAATCACAACCACTAACCACAAGCACACAACCACAATTAAAACGCACAACCACAACCACAAACACACAGCCACAAACACACAATCACAAACACACACACACACAGCCACAAAAACACAACCACAATCACAACCACAAGCACACAACCACAATTAAAGCGCACAAGCACACAACCACAACCACAAGTACACAACCACAAACACACATCCACAACACTCAAAGACAACCACAAAAACACAACCACAAACACACAACTACAACAATATTAAAGATATTGTTATATATAAGTACCTGTGTGTGTGTGGCATTTGCGTGGCACGTGGTCACAGGGTAGTAGTTTTGCATGCCAACTGGAGACACCCTGGAGACACCCTGACGCGAACCCCCTTAGCACTAAAGGAACAATCCCAAACCCGAGAAAGCACAAGCAAAATCGAAAACCACAAAACTCAAGACCATGGCAACATGCTCCCCACCATTGCATGAAAACAACTGATTGACATGTCATGGTGGGGATCACCCGAAGTACAGTATATAATAGTATTTAACAGTATATACACTTGCATTGTTTTGAGAAAGCTGCATGGATTGTGGTGGGGTTCTTCCATGTTCCTCCATGGGGGGGAATAGACTTATTTGGTTGCTGTCAGGCTGTCAGTGCGAAGCTGATTTTATTTCCGCATGGAGTTTAAGCACATGGAAATACACCTTTCTGAACTTAAGCTCCAAGAGATTCAGAACATGGGTGTGTCACCTTGCTCAGGACACGGGTTTGTCACTCCTTAAACTTGAGCCGAATGGCTCCTTGGGCCCTCCATGGACCATTTTCAGGGCAGTGCCATTCTAATTGAATTCGCTGACTGCAGTCAGACTGCCAACCCCTGCCTCTTGAACAAGAGGGCCAAGAAGCACCACAACCATTCACGAACCATATCCGACCGACCTGATTTCTTTAGACTTCGACTCAAAAACGTGTCGACGGTCGACTCGTTGGTCTGGTCGACCCCTCCAGTCACAGGTCTCATGGAGAAGTTCGACCAAATCTCAGGGTGAAGGACCGAAGATGCGAAAAAAGACCGAAGAACGGCCGCCACGCTGGTCGTCGCTGTCGAGTGAGTTTGCTTGGCGCCGGTTCGGGGAGTAGCCACACGGACGTCAAGGGGGACGCGGGGGTCCGACGCCAGATGTGCCCAGGTGCACCTTGAAATGGTTGACGCCGCTTTTCAACTTCCTTCCAGATTTTGTGCGATCCTCAGGTTTGTCTTCGTGCGGCCAGGCTACTGCGTTCCTGAGATACGCCAAAAGAAAGAAGGAATGATACGCCTATGGTAAATCTATTTGCAAGCAAACCAGGATTGTAAAATAAGAACTGCAATTCTACGGCCACCGACATAATCCGTTTCAGTCTACTGCTTTGCTTCTATAGCAGAAAAATAGTGAGAAAGGACACCTGACGATGTAATTCCAGGATGCCAGGTGAAAGGATTGCAGCTGATGGTTTGAACTTTCTTGCCTTATCAACCTCCTTTTGCCGTCAAATATTGCGCCACACAGACGCACGGACAGTCTGAAACAGAGACAGAGCCCCGCAATGCGAGGATGAACACAAATCCCTGTTTCACCGTTGAGAAAAAACGATGAACACTTTTGCTTGGTTCAACTAGTCTGGATCTCTACAGGACCTGGAAGTATTGAATTTGCCTATACGGTTTACCAAAGCTCGATCACACGACAATTTGAGCGAAGAAAGGTGCTTGCCACACGATCCCAGGTGCTTGCGGCAATTGTGATAAGTTCAGCTCGGGAGCCCAAGGGGAAGGATTGAAACGGAAGAGATTTGCTGAAGTATTCCTGCGAGAATCCTTGAGATTCATTCACCCCATGGCTCACAGCGCCCATTGGGCTTGCACCAGATGACGGCGTGGGTCATGGCACCAGGAGACCCGGTTCTTTTTCACTACGAGGCATGGTGAACTGGGCTCCGAGTTCCGGGGCTCCAGGTGACCCCACAAGTACATCTTGCAGCCGAGAAAAGCAGCACATCGAGCTGAGCCGAGAAAAGCAAGGAACAAGAAAGGTGACCCTGAAGGAGGAGCTGTGAAGGGGAAGAACTTTTCCAGTTGATCAGGAAGTACCACAGCTCAGCCAATGCCAAACACTCCATACCGGACCCTGAAGTCTTTGGAAATGATTCTCAAGCAAGCTAGGCGAGAAGGATTGGAGGATATTGGAGGTGTTAGGAGATATAGGAGATCACATCGGTAAACTCACCGCAACACAGCAATTTGAAATTGGATGAAATTGGTTTTGTTTCATGAGAGGATCCTTTTCCAATGATTTTTCCACCAGAGACCCATAGATGGATCGATTGACACTGACCTATTTTCTGAACAACAGCGCATATGCCAATCCAAATCAATTCCAAATCAGTGTTTTTTTTGTGCTGTCTTCAATTTCTAGCGGTGCCGACAGCTAGAATATGCAGACGCCCAGAATTGGACGTCTCCAGACCCCTCGAATCTCTTCCGTCGGAAGGGACGGCGCAGGCCTGGGCCCACCCTGTTCTCTTCCGCTTCCCCTTTACGGGGAGACGGGACCGCATCGGATTGGGGCCATATACTGTAGGTGGCGCCCTTGGTGGCCTACACCGAGGCCAGTGGAGGTTTCCGGCGAAGCGCTGTTTGGGGGTTTGCGGTCGCGGCCCGGGTTTCTGGAGCTTCTGGCCACACATGTCTTTTTTTTGCGCGGTTTGACGCAAAAGGCATCGGACCAATGATGTTTGATTTTGAAATCATTGAAGATCGATTGCTCTTTTGGGCATCATTTTTCTTGCAAGAGATATTCTCTCGCCAAGCAGATCCGCACTTTGTGCCTTCCGACTCTCTGTGTGTTGCGAGCTCGGCCAGAGAGGGCCATGCCGTGAGAGCGCTCCCCAAGCAAGGGCTTCGTATCGAGCTTTCAGAGTAGATGGCACTGGCACCCCAAGATGTCTTTTGGCCCATGGGGGTCCGTTTGAACCACCCAATTTTTTGGGGCCCTTGTGCCATCTACTCTCAATCCACATTCTTTTTTGGGTATCCGGTATCCCTGTTGGCACCCTCCAAGCCTGCAGGCCATCAAACTTTGGCGGGTGAAGAAGAATGACTTCTTCCTGTGGGTGGCGTGCCCGAGAGTTCTCAACCGCAACCGATGTCGATGGGCATCCATTCCGATGACGTCACAGACCTACAGAGTGGCAACGATCAGAGTCGAAGGGGTTGGATTTGGAGGATTTGGTGGCAAAGCCTTCAGCCGAATGTTCTAGAGTCTAGAATCTCAACACAGTTGATCACAGTTACTTCAGTGCATTTTTTGGGAGGATACCAGGATACCCGATCAATGGGTGACATATGAGGTATTTTCTCATTCATCTTGCTGTGAGTCTTGGCCACAACCCCCACAACACCTGGGGTATCCGGATCCGGGCACCGCGTGGGGTATCCGGATCCGGGCACCGCGCTCAGCTCACTGATCCGGGCTGAGAGGAGCCCCGGAACCGGGAACATCTGGAAACCAACTATAGTGGATTGAGAGGACCAATGGCACAGGACCACCATGTCGGTGGTTTGTTTTAGAACCCCCCATTTAGACAGAGGACATGGGGAAACGTGCCGTGGAACCTCTGAAACCATTGTAACCTGATCAACACAGGAACCGGAGGAAAAAGTTCTCCAACAGCGTAAGCTTGGGGTCTGAAGAGCCATAAAGGGTTTAAAGGAGATAGAGGCGAACAGCAAATGCTGTTTTGCTGTTGGGGATATTCTTTGGGCTTCTTCTTCAAGGTAACATTGCATTGTAACTTTTGCATGCAACAATTTTCCAGACTGAGGGAGGAAGGGAGAGAGAGAGAGAGAGAGAGCATGTTTGAGTCTTCCCTTGTCCATCATATTTGTGGTTCCAAATCCCATGGACCCCACGGCACTGTACTGTAGAGCTGTAGAGCTCAGCCCGGTGCTAGTCTTTTGGAGCATCCATGTCCATTTTGCCTCATGCATTCGACTGCAAGACTTGATTGGTGCTTGATTGGTGCGATTTCTTTATTTGTTGGCCGCGCCATGTCTTCCTACCTGGCGCGTTTGCTCAGGTGGCAGCCTTTTTGGGAACACTCTTCCTGGGTGTCCTCACAGGTTCCGTTGTCATCAGTTGTTTGGCTATGGGCCTCTCACCAGAGCGGTGTCACACATGGGCTGAGTCGCACGTGGGACATTTAGGACAACCTACTAGCAATGGCCTCCACCCTAAGAGCGATGGCCTCCACCCTAATAGCGATGGCCTCCAACCCAAGAGCTTGCCATTTTGAGAAGAATGTCGGGTATCCATTTTGCAGATCAACGTTTCAGGCGGGCCCAACTTTGTGCCCATGCAGACTGCACTACTTTTTTGAGCCTTAAAAAAAGGCTCTGTTGAGGTCCTTGCTCTTCATTTTCTTCAGCTCTGAAGAACATGCATCATCCAACTTCTTGTTCGCCCACATCACCACACCTCAGAGCCAGGCATCGCCCTGGCGGTCGGCCTCTCCTTGGCCATTGTCATCTACGAGTCCGTGAGGTGGTCATCTCAGCGTCCACTGGCGCGGCCAACGGGAGAGATCTCCACGGCAAAAGCGCCGTTCAGAGCGCCTTTCCTCCGGTGATATGGTGTTTTATATGTCCAACGAGGGGGGTATAGGAAACGAGGGGGGCTCGAGGGTTTTAGCATATTTTTTTCAGAAGGTCCCGATGCGGGGCGGGGCTGTTCAAGGCTGAAGAAAAGGAATTCATGATAATTCATGTTATTTTTCAGTCCGCCGTGCTCGATCTTTCGGTTACGTGCTGCTCGATCTTATGGTGGTTTGCAACCCACCCAGTCAGTGGATGGCCTTAAAACCGCCCTTTATATATATTATATATAACCCTTGTTTTGTGGGGATTAAACCATTCTTGTCCCTACTCAAAATCGGAGTGGATGTGGACTTGGTGAACCTCCAGGCCCCAAATCACCATCCTTTGGCGCTTGCCGGGGACCACGATCTACAGAAATGTGAAGCAGGCGGGGCTTCGCTGACGAGTTTCTGACAGGTTTTGGTTGACCGGGACCCTTTTTTTGCACCAAATGAGAGTGTTTTCACGAACTGAGCCCAAAAATTCCCAACATTTATTCAACAGCAGGTTCCCAAACGAAAAACGTGACCCATGAAGCCTTCTTTTCCAACGAAAAAGGCATCGCCTCGTGGTAGGGGGTTTTCAGGGTTTCACGGGTCTAACAGAACAGTCCAGTCAGTGTCGGGAATTCTTTCACGGAGCTCCAGCTCTCAAGTTACTTCCAGTCATTTCTTAAGTCTTCAGTTTTGTGTGTTCTTCTGTTGAGGGTTTTTTGAATTCGATGACTTCGGGATTGATTTGGATCAAGAATTTCTTGTTGACCAGATGTCTTAGCCATTCTAAACCAAACGTCTAAATTGTCATATTGTGATTCTTGGTTAATTGGAACCTTTGTGAATCAAAGACATGTTATTTGTTTTGCAAACCCGGTGAGAAAAGAATCACAAGATGGGCTTGCACACGTTACGGACGTAGCTTCATCCTCTGACGCGCCGCGTGTTCCGGGCTCTGACGGCCGGATGTTCAAAACCTTCAAATCGCTAATAGTAGCCTCTTGTTCTTAGTAGTAATGCCCTTGTTACAAGTAGCGCTGCACCTTGTGACTAGT